TATAACAACCTCAACAGAAGCAAATGGTTGCATCCTGATTTCCAGAGCTGATAACCAGACTACAAACAATGAAAATTACGAAGGCTTTCTATGATGCATCACCCCATCAGCAAGACGGAAAATGTCATGGTAATGTTGGGATTCATACTAAAGGCTAATTGAGAACCAGCCAATGCCTTTGGCAGATGCCTTTTTTCATTGTGTCAGGTTTGGTTTGGTATTACCTCAGAACAGTTGAAGCTGGATATAGTCATCTGAGGCTCTCTTCTACTTCTTTTTTACCCATCACATGTCTTTTCCCATTCCACTTCAGAGGCCCTTCTTATAGGGTCTTTTAGTCATAAACTTGAAGGGGAAACAGGGTCACCCATTTTTAGAGTAAAGCACCCTGTGAGCTTATGCTTGTACTTCAAGAACAAAGTAATGGTAGAGGTGGATTCATAAATTGTAAGGCCAGAATGGACCTCGGAAGATCATCGGGTCCAGCCCCCTGCACCAAGCAGGAAAGATAACTGGGGGTCAGATGACCCCAGTAAGATGAATGTCTAGTCTCCTTTCCAAGGTAGATGATTGCACCACCTCTGGAGGGAGCTTTTTCCACAGTCTGGACACCCTGACTGTGAAGAAGTTATGAAAAGAAGTTGCCTCTTTTCTTTCTCTATGATCTGTAGAAGGATTTCTGCAGCAACACACAGAAAGAGGCTTCTATTCACAGTATTTCCTTATCCTGAAGAAGAAAAAATCTTCATTCTAAGACCCCAAAAAACTAAATATATATTCCTTCAAAATTCAGGATAGTGAATGACTTGCTTCTCTCATTCCATCACTTTAGGCTCAAGACCACTTTCACTCCCAAACTGTCCGGGGCTGATCTGGCATTCTCACGGCTAGGGATTCCATCCAGAACCAAAATCACTATACTTGGCAGTGTGGCTGTTTGTTGCCTGAGCACCATGGACAGAGGCTCTTCACTGAAAGTTCAGAACTCCTGTTTTGGAGTAAGAGGGGATATATTCTTGCAAATGGAAGAGAATAATTATTTATATTACAAGTCCATGATGGCATAGACCCAACCCAAGCCTTATCATGGACTACAGGCTGCATTTCAGGCAAGACTGGGGATATAGCAACGGTCTCTGTTGTATCCAACTCCTTTGATCTCTTTGACATCCTTTCATTTATGGGAGATGGCTATGATGTAGATGGTTTGCAATGTCCCATGTGACTGAATAGTCCGGTCCAGGATTTGCATGATCTGTGGCAGTGGTTAAAAATGTGTGTGTCATGGTTGGGTGGTTTGGGAGCTGCTTGCTTCCCATGGGCTGTTTTTCTTTTCAAGTTGTTGGAGCCAATTTCTGTCATGGACTTTGATGCCCTGATGAAGATGATAATGCCACTTGTTATGATCAGTTGCCAAGGTTTTCCATTGGTCAGGATCAATTCCAAATGCCTTCATATCTCACTTGCATGTGTCTTTGTAATGAAGCTTGGGACGTCCTATTGTTCTTGTTCCCCTGATAGTTCCCCGTATAGCATGTCCTTGGGTATGCATCCACCTTCCAATCTGCTTAGGTGACTTTGCCAGCACAGTCATCTGTGTTTGAGTAGGGCTGTCACACTTGGTAAATTTGCCTTTTGAAGAACCTCTGCATTGGTAACTTTCTCTTGCCATTTGATGTTGAGTATGAAGCGTAAACAGTGCAGGTGGAAGCTGTTTAACCTGTTCTCTTGATGTGCATAAGCTGTCCATGTTTCCCTACCATATGTGAAAGTGCTGAGTACAAAAGCCTTGTACACTAGCATTTTGGTTTTGATGGTAAGCTTCGAGCTGTTTCAAACTCTTTTAGTTAGTCTGCTGAAGGTGGTGGTAACCTTTCCAATGTGAACATAAGTTCTTCATTCAGTGAGAGGTTGGTAGTCACTGTATAGAACCTAGGTAGCTGAACTTTTGGACTGCTGCTAGCGGATTCTCATTAAGGATGATTGATGGATCTTGTGGAACTCTCTGTCCTAGTACAAGTGTTTTCTTTATGCTGATGGTCAAAGCAAATGCTTGGCAAGCTCTTGAGAGGCGATCCATAAGTTCTTGTAGTAGGTCTTTGTTGTGGGCTATAAGGGCACCATCATCACTGAAGTCTGCTTCATAACAATTTCAGAATTTCCATCATACCACAACACTGAACTTTCTTGAAAGGTGACCATCATCAATCAAAAAATGCAATGTTGCCTTGAGTTAAAAACAGTTCTTTAAGGCTCCTAGACTTTTCTCTTTCCACTGGAGAATGCTCCTTCCACCATCTTACTCTGAAAATAATCTTTCTAGTCTCTTACTTTAACTGGAAAGTGAATTTCAAGTGCTCATAGTTTGAACCTTTCTATGCAACGTTCCATCGGGATAAAAAAATGGTGAGACTTCATCCCAAATTTACCCTACTGTTTTTATCTGGATTAAACCATTAGTTTACCTGCTGTATTCACAAACCAATCCTCAGCCCTGAGAGAAAAGATACAGAGAGTACCTAAACCATTATATTGTCACCCCTTCTATTTCTATTGAAAACCAAATGTACAAAAGGTCAGTGTCACATCTCAAAGAACATCAGAAGATATTGCAAAATGCGTCTCCTTGGAATAGCAGTTATCTAGTATCATGGGGTGAATCGGTCGGGGGGGGGGGTCAGTTCTTCCTCCAGTCTTACTGTCCATAGAAACTGAAGGCCCAGTCATGCTTAGTTGAGCTGTCACCTCCCTCCCCTTCCCCCCACTTCCCAAGGCAGGTGGAGATTCAGCAGCACTTGCCACATCTTGCCATCCCTGGAGGCCAAGAGCCCAATGCTGGCTGCACCCCCATCCCTTTTCAATATCCTAGACCCTCCCCAATCTATAGTGCATCGTGCACAACAAATATCAAAACACATGCCATTAGAACTCAAGTGACTGCCTCCACTACTTCAGATATGTTGCAGTGTCAGGTGCTTATTTAGCTGTGTGATTAGTTCCCAAGCTCACGAGAGCAGCACTACCGTCATTGTTTGACTGATACAGCTGAAACCATTCATTTTTGCCACCATGAGGGTGTGGATATGATGCCTACAGTCAACTACAAGGGACATGCACAAAAAGAAGAAATGGTTTAATACTGTACAGATGGGTTATTTGAAGTGTTGTAGACGAGATGAATCTCAACCTCCCCCCTTCCTCCCCAATCTCTGCTCTCAGAGTTCTCAAATATCAGTCTTCAGATGGTGAGAAAACTGAGGATCCTTCTGCCTTTCATACCTTCTCAGAGAATCCAAAGGACATGTGCACAGACCTGGTGGCACTGCTGTGACCAAATGATCTGGTATTGCATGCATGAAGTACTTACATTGTGAGCCATAACAATATCTTGAAGAACCACAGCAGGAAAAATAATCATTTTTTTCTTCCTTTTTGTAACTTGTTGACTGGGTTCTTCAGTTGACATGCCTTTTAGTAGGTGCTGTAAACCTTCAGAGAGAAGTGAGCATGTAGAGCTCAAGTGCCCATCACTTCGGGAATGAATTAGAGAGACAGGCCGATTTATGTAGAGGAATCTAAGATCTTGAACTGATTTTTTTTCCTCTAAAGGAGGAACTCTAAGAATAGTCAAGTCAAGAGTAAGGATTTGATCAGGAGTTTATATTGTTTGGTTTGTATTAACTTGTTAATAAAAGTCAAAACCCAGCAAAATTGTAAGTTTTCGAATCCATGTTGCCTGTTTGGGGCATGTTGGGAATACCACCTGCTTACAAAATACATCAGCAATACTTTCCTTTGATGACAAGAATTCATTTTGATGACAAGAATTCATCACTGGCTAACTGTATCTAGTGTGCTGACAACCAGTATATCTATGGACAAATATCTAGCACACTTTTAAATGTTTTGTGGTTGAGGAATGTTTGAAGGGAGAACCTTGATTTTAGTGGAACAACTTGAACAGCATCACTGCTCATGTTATGTGTCGTTGTCTTCTGGCATAACATTAATGTTTGCTGTATCTATTTTTATGAAATGCTGTATGCTTGCCTGTACCAAACTAGCATTTTAGCTTGGCCTCTTATAAGCTCAGATCAAGTGTTGTGCTTGATCTACTGTTTGATTCAATATCCCCATTAAACAGCTTGGAAAAGAGTGGGAAGGTGCTTTTTCAATTTTTAACTTTTTGAAAATGTTAATTTTTTCTTCATTTTTAAAACAGTAATGTTCTGTAGTTTAAATATTATTATTACAAGTTGCTTTTTCTGTCATAGATATGATTAAGGGGGAAGTTATACATTTCTATGTGCAGAAGTTTGTGGTACTATTCATTGCACTTGCAAACCACATTAGCAATTGTTACGCCGTTTGATGAAACTGTATACAGTTTCTTTCCATCTGGCAAATCAGTGAATGTACTTGTAAAGCAAAAAAAAAAAAAGTACGATATTTTTACTCTTGAATTATGGAAGCCTCACCTCCTGTATTTTATACATGGTGTAAAACAAAAAAGGAACCAAATAAGAAAAATTCAAGTAGAGTTGTTAACTAATTTTTGGTACTTGTCTGGGCTGAAGGGGGGGAGGGGAAGATTTATCTCCCCAACCTACCATCCCATTTCATTTTGGGGTGCAATAAAACCAAGAAAAATACATTTTCAGGTAAAAGTTGTAAGTCCAGAAATAAATAAAATAAGAGCACCAATGCTTTCTATCACTGGGGAACTTTCTTCATCTAAGCACATATGAACAATTGATCCTTGTAGTCATATATAGCAGTAAACATTAATAACTTAACAGTCTGAAGTCAGTGCTGAAGATATGGAGCATTATTGAAAGATGGAGTCGAGCAGGTGGCACTTTAATATGTTCAGTGTCATGGTTGACTCTAAAGACTAGTAGAATGAAATTACTTGAGGTTCTAAAGATTTAAAAAGCGAACTCATTTTGCTGCACTAAGGAAATGCTACTGATCAGGCTTTCTGTGTCCCTTTTTTCTAGGCTAGAAAATATTAACCCTGAAGAAAATGACATGGTAAGCCATTCTCTGAGGAGATTTCTTGATGTCAGTCTTATATCTTAGAGGCTTAAGTTCAATTGAGTGGGTTTCAAGAACTAAGATGTGGGAAAAAGAAGAATTGACACACTAATAATGTACATCTTTGCTGCAATATGAAAATTCAATAACTTCACTCAGTCAATTTACAATTCACATGTGCCTATTAATTAAAACCCTATATTAAATAAAATATATTAAAACTTCATGTCTGACTAACATATAATGCTGTTGGTAGACATTACAGGAATTACTGAACAGAATAAACAATGCAGACACAGGGCTAGCTATACAGAAGAATGGAGCTATAATTGTGGATCGAATACACAGGACCAAGGAACGTAAAAAGAAAATAACAGCTGAGGAAATGAATGCAGTGATAGAAGAAAGGGATGCTGCTTTGTCTGAAGTAAGTCTCCACAAGTCTATAAAAGTATTTAGTGCCCAAATTCCCCCTCTTTATCTTTGGGGAAGCACAGTCTTCAATGTATTTTGCAGCATTCCCTCTAAGCTGTATGGTGTGCGTGACAGTGCAGGCGTGCTCATGCCACACTGCCAGGTGCGCCTGCGTGCCCGCACACACCATGCGCCTTAGAGGGAATGCTGGTATTTTGCCTTTTGAAAGTTCACTTTTTCTTACAGAATGCCAGAAGAGTACACAATGATTATGCATCTCAGGAATGCTATTGAAAATGTCCTTGCATTTTGCAAACAACTTTGAAAGATATTGATGTATATAAAAAACTACCAAAGGTTCAACTATGCGCCTCACTGTGATACAGGGTCCAACAGATCTGTAAAGTATTAGAAAGTGGAAAACTACAGAAATAGGTGATGATTCTGTCCCATAAAAACCTTCAAAGATGAACAGATTCCCCCCCACAAAGACTCTACATTTAGGAACAGACATGTGTGTTCTCCTTGGTAGTCTCTCACTTTTCAGTGTCTTAATCTCTTTCCCCTCCCCCCAACAGAAGCTTATGGTACTTCACAACACTTGACTCCTTCTGTCTCCCAACCTCCACATAAACGTTATCCCCCATCCCTGAAGAAAGAAGAGAGCTTCAGCTCTTCACTTTCTTCAGAGTTCTGACTGTCTGTGGTGGAGCACCTCCAGTGCCTGCCACTTTAAGGACTGGAGCGGGCAGTTGGCAGGTGCTTGATGAGCGTGGCCATTTTAGAGCTCCGCTCTCAGGGCTGGAGGCAGTAGTCTGCTGCTAGCAGCTCAGCAGGCAACATCTAGCTGAGCTGCTTGGAACATCCTTGGAGGTAAGGGCAGGAGCTGTGGGGACGGTAAGGAGGCTCCTGATCCTGGGCATGACCTGAAACTGCACCCTGCTGGGGAAGGGTGGCCTGGCGGGGCTGTTTGTGATGGAGCAGCCCCCAAGAAATGCCAGGCCAGTGACCTCCCCAGTGAAAGGTGGGTAGGGGCACCTTAGCCCCAGCCCCCACCATTCGGTGGGTAGAGTAGCAAGGGCCAGGCATGGCTGTGGCCACCTGAGCCCCACAGGGTTGTAAGACCCCGGAGGTCCCAGTGTGAAGGAGCTATAGTGTGGCCCCAGTGTGAGGGGGCAGGAGAGTGGCCCGCACAGAGTAGGGGGTGCCTTTGCAACTTGAAGGACTGTGCATGATGGGGTGTAGAGTAGGGCCTGCCCAGGGGCTAGACCTGAAGAGCTGCACCAAGAGGTGCCTAGAGAAAGGTTGCCTGGGGGGCAAAGTGAAGGACTGCACAAGGGCCAGCGCCGCAAGATCAGTGAAGTGTCAAGAGTGAGCCCTAGGGAGAGGGCATGAGTGAAAGGCCCTAGTAAGAGGACAAGAGTGTGAGCCCTTGTGAGCGGGCAACTATAGGGACCAAGGTAAGTCTATGGATGCCTGAGGCCAGATTTGGGCTGGAGGCCAAGTGGTATGGCTCAGTAAGGGAGTGGGGGGAAGTTTGATGATTTTGGATGCCATCTGCGAGGTATGGGCCACATTGTAGAGATGGTATGGAGCCATGGATAGCACCCCCTGGCATTAGGGCATTATAATGGGCGGCCTCCCATTTAGAACACCAGTTTATTTAACCAGCAAGTTGTGGCAGGCAACAATGGGCGTGTTAAGGTTGAAACCCAGCCCTGAGCTTGCTGGCTGTCACATGGTCACTTATGCCTTAGAAAGAGTCGTGCTGGGTTCTAAGGCCAGTTTTCTCTGCTCCAGGTCTCAAGTCCTGACTAGACTTCTATGGCAGCCTTAGTCCTAAATAATGCTGATATGCTTCCTCCTGCATTAGATGTCAGGGCAAAAAATCCTTTGCAGTTTATTCTCTTCTGTGGCAAAATTTATTTCCTCTGCATAAAGCCAGAGCAAGCTTCCATAAGTGTTGCAGTCAGTCATGGGAATTAACTAGTTAAAAAATTAAGAAAATGGCTAGCTTTTAACTTTAACTAGTTAAATTTTTCAGCTGTCAACTTTTAACTTTAGTTAAAAAAAAGGTTAACTTAACTTTTTTTTAAGTATAAGTTAAAAGTTTAAAAAAAAATTGAAATCCAGCTTTCCCAGAGTTTTTTCCTGACAGCCACTCTCTAGGACTTGCATGGAACAAGATTTCTTTATTGAAATATTTCTAGGACTTCTTATTTGAGAAACAGAGAGTAGTGTGCCTTCCTATGAGATATGATCTCTTAAGAAGTACAAGTCCCAGAGTTCCTTAGTTCATGCTGGAATTTTCTGTGCATTTGCAGAAGTCAACAGAGCAGCCAGTTGGCTGCAAGAGAGGGAACAAGCAGAGACACTGGTCCTAGTAAGAGTGGGAGCAAGTAGTGAGCAGATGACGACTTTTTAAATTTTAATGAAGATCTGAACCAGGGCCCAAGAAGTTGAGCCATGAATGACGCATGTCCCCAGCGGCTGGAGTGGCAGCCCGGCAGTGGTGAGCAGGGAGCTCCCGCAGACGCTGCTGGCACTGTCGGTAGTGAGGGAGGGGGAAGGGGGTGGTGAGCTCTGACCAGGGGTCAGCGACCACCCATAGGTGCTGCCAGCAGTGTTGGCAGTGGCCAGGGTGATCGTGGACTGCCCACAGACAGCATCGGCAGTGCCAGCGGCGGGGTGATGAGCAATGACTGCCCGCTGGCACCACTGACAGTGTTGGCAGTGCCTTTTTGCAGGGGGTGCACGTGCAGCCACGTGCACCCCCAACACATCATCCCTGTGTTGAGCATTACTTCTCAGCTGTGAGAAACTTAGATGAGATGTCACCTACTATGAAAAAACTGTTCATCCGTTATAACACAAGCATTCCCTCATCTACTCATGTAGAGTGATTGTTCAGTAGTGGGGACTTAGTTTTGTAAGACGGAAGAGGAAAATTGTCAGATGTAAATTTTGAAATGCAGCTTTTGCTGAAGTTCAATAAGCATGTTTAAACCATTTGTGCTAAGCAGCTGAATATTTTTTTTCTCCTTTAAACTGATTTTTCTCATTTCAGTCTAATTTTGATTTTCAGACACTTTCATTATTTCTAATCCAGATGTATTTCATACCCTTTTGTTACCTTTTGAGCAATAAAAATTGTAACAACAGAGGTTTTCTTTGGAAACAGCTTTCATTTGTTACCTGGCTATGAATATCTCCTTTCTATTATTCTGGTATACCTGTATGATGCATTGACTTTTACAAAGTACTTCACATAGAGAGGGTGAGAAGGATCTAATATTACATAGGTATTGGTAAATTGTTATTCTGAAAACTGTATTACAAGTATAACATTGTTTTTAGGTAAAGCAGGGTGAGTTCCAAGTAAACTGCAGTCAAAGTCACGTTATCTGGCACTTTACAAACCAGCATGCTCTATTAACCAGCATGCCAGCTTGTGAGGTAAGAGTAAAACCAGAAGTGCCCACCATGGCACTTCCAGTTTCTCTGAGCCCCCATGGCCCGGGGCAAAGCAGCCTGCGCTGCCAATCTCCACAGCCTGGGACATAGCAGCCTGTGTGAGGCCCCCCTCTCCCTGTCTCTTGGCACACTGATGCAGTGGGAGGGGTAGCGACACAGCGAGAGAGGTGGTGGCCTCAACAGGCAAAGACACCTGTTTGGGCCTCTCAGGTAACTGCTATATTTGGTTATCCGGCACCCCCCATTCCTCATGGGTGCCGGATAACAAATCTTTTGCTGTAACGTGCTTCTGTGGGCTTCTGGAAAAGAAACCCACTCATTGCATTTGAAAATGAAAAATGATGCTAAGAGGCAATTCACCATGTTTCACACATTTCTCACGAATCAACTTAAAAAGAAAGTAGCTAGTTAAAAGTGAACTTACCTTAACTAGTTGGAAGTGGAAATAAGTTAAAAGTTAAATAACTCAACTTAATTTTAAAGGCTGCTAACTTTTAACTTTAACTAGTTACATTTTTCATAAACTTTTCCCATGACTGACTGCAGTAATAGGGGTGCTGAGCACAGCTGCTCTTTGAGTCCAGATAGGAATGCAGTCTTTTAGTGTCTACTGCTAGGTGTCTGGGTCTGCAATAGAAACCACAACTTATCTGTGCTCTTTCCATGGGTAGTTTGCACCACTTAATCTAGGTACACATGCATTTGATGCGCATTATTCTCATCCTGTCCTGTGGCTTGATCCCATGTATCCCATGGCATACAGGCCACTGTTGTTATCTGAGCTACTGCAAGGAGCTTCCTCCACAGCAAACAGGGTGAGTGTAGGCATGTTATGGCTGCTCCAATATTAACTCCAAGTACAATCCCAGCTGTCTGTTTAAAGTATAATGGCAATATTGCCAGAGTAGGTAGATTAAGTTAAATGCCAGCTCTCATCTTCATCCAAAACTAGGATCAAATTTCAGTTTGGTCCTCCCTCAGATACTATCTGTTTTAATGATAAAGGTGCATGGTGGTACAAGAGAAATTTTTGAGGATTGATAAAGTTATAGTGTTATTCTGATGTTGTAGCTGGGATGGTCCAGGAATTATATCAGCAGCAACGATTTCTTTGAGTGATATCTTTTACTGGACCAACTGCATAGTTGACATAGAGAAGTTTTCAGGTCATCCTTTGGTCCAGAGAATTTGGGAATGAATACAGTAGATATTAAAATTGGGGTTTCTTTATTGTTTGGTTTTGTTTTCTTCTTCAACCCCACCCCATTTCAAATGAGGAATAGTAAATATGTTGCAGAATAGACCACCTTTACTTGATTCAGAAGACCTACTGCTGATTTCTGTTTGTGGGGCATATTTAGGTCCACACTTCAACCAGTCTTATTTTCCCCCGTGGTGATGCTCAAGATCATTGAAGTCCTGCATAGGATTTTTTGTTAGTCTCTATATGGATGTGAATATCATCCTGGGGATCTGGGGATGAGGTAGGGTTTTACATAGCAAATGGACATTATTTATAAAATAGTAGAGCACAGTTTACAGATGAACAAAAACTGTAAGCAAGTGAAAAGGATTCCAGGTAGCATTGTAAAAAGTTATTTTGAACAAAGCATAAACATTTGTAAAGGCAACCTCAGGGCATGGTGATACCTTCTAATCACTGTTTGACCATTTTATTTAAATTAGATGAACTTTGCCTGAATATGTTGATATATGTTTCTCCTGCTCTCATCTTTGCCGGGCTCCTGTTTCCTTCAACCATTTGCCATGCCAGAATGTATGTGGTTACGTGATTACATGTTAAAAAAAAGTAGTACACAACATATGTACTGGTGAAAAAACCCAACTGTCCTGCCAAAGGTTTATGGCCTTCAATATTTTTTTTAATTATGGTTGGCTTTTTATCTTTATACAGGACATTGAAAGTTGGGCAACCAGTAAAAGAAAAGAATTCAGCAAAAGAGAAGGATATGCTTGGTATTTTTCTTTTGTTGTTGTTTTGCTTTTCTGTCGCAATATGTTTTCAAATATGTATGGTTCATAAAACCTATTAAGCTATTGGATTTTGGAATTGGAGCAGTATATTTGTGTAGTTTTTTTTTTTTTTAACTTGTATAAAAGTAAACTTCACAGACTCACATTTGTAAGACACTGCTTTTCCAGATAATTAACCAGAAAATTAATAAAAAGTTGGTTATTCCATACACTAATGGGGCAGATGCCAAGAGTACCACAGTATAATAGTTTTCATAGTGCGTTTACATCGATAATTCAAGCGATAGGAACATTTTAGGTAAATTATACTATACTGTCTGTATTTTATACCAAACAGTATTATTCCATTTTATGATCTTTACAATTCATAGCAGTAGGATTTTAAACTAATTACTGTTAATAGAACATATGCATTTTTTAATGATGGTTCATAATGATTTCAGTGTAGATTTTTACTTTGGAAATTTGTGACAAAGAAATTGTTATTCTATTGTTAAGATTGTACAGATATTACAGTGATAACAGAAAGAGGATAGAGGACCAGATGTATTTCAAAACATTGGTATCCTTAGCTTGATAAACCTGAATTACTGAGAGATTTGTGGCCGCTTCAGGTCTTGGTAGCGTCTGCAAGGTAAAGGTAAATGCTTAATTCATTTTAAGTGAGTGCAAGATCACATGTGCACAAAGACTGACCCAAAGCAAGAGTACAGTCACTATTAGATGTATGTAGACTGTGACTGTTCCCTGGAACGCAGCATTTAAGAGTTTGGTGGTGTTGGCTAAAAGCCTTATGAGGTGGTGTGAAGACTACCATCTCTTTTCCACAGCTTAGTATTCTCTGGTGCCAAGACCAGCAATGCCAGTCTTCACTAGCAATGTAGCCAAGTCCCCATGAGCAAAAGCTGCCTGTCAGGTATTAAGGATTTTATATGGGTTTTGTGTCATGAATCTGCACCTACTAACCTCTCTCAGTGAGTGTCTTCACAGTAGTATGCTCTTGAAAATTGATCACAATTTACGTTAAGTAGCAGGAAGATCTTCTGTTGCTGTTGTTAGGACTTCAATTTTTCTCTGTAAGAAGCTATGACATATGGAGGCCATGCAACCTCAATTTACTGAGTTGGTTTCAGTTTAATATTTAATAATGTGCTAAGTGTGCATACACTATAGTAAATTGTGTGTCTTCCGTAAGCATGCAAATACAGGTTATCATCATCTGGTCTTTCAGGTGTGATCCAGGAATATGTTATGGTGGTTATATTGTATAGTTAACATTTAATTTGCCTGGTACAGTACACGTAGCTTGATAATAGTTAACTAGTTATATTTCTTGTCTTTAAATTTTACTTGAATTTTTCACTGGTGAACAAACTAGAAGTGCTACTTCAGTCCTAGGAAAAATTATAGAATAAAGTTCTCTGTGGATCCCAAACACTGAGGAACCCCTGTACCTCCTCTGAGATTTCAAATGTAAACTCAGTGTCTTATTAACAGAAAGATGCGAGTACTATTATTACTCTATCAAGTTGCACGTGTATGTAATCTTAGATCATTCACTACATTGTTGAGCAAATATGCAAACTATTTTTTGTATGTGCAAAAACAAATAAAATGGTATAAACTCAAATATTTGATATTACTTTTAGTATGTATTTTCAAGTGAATAAAAAACAAGCAACTAACGGATGGCTAAACATTGACATCCATCTTACTCCCCCTCCCCCGCCACCAACCCATTAAAAAAAACAACAACAAAAACCCAATATTCGACCATTTGGTTGTAATTTCCAAGGTATATTTTTAGTGAACAAACCCAGGCAGTGTGTAGATCCTGTTAGTTATATGGCTGCTCTTGGAAAAGGAAATAGAGAAAAGATGCCGACTGCTACAAGAATGAAGAAGTCAGTTTCTTGTTTTATGCTCAGATTTGTCTTAACCCATTCAGAGAAATAATCTGTCTATTCAGATGATTGTAACACAGTTCTTCTAAGTTTCTGTTTGTTTACAGTTGAATAACCAAATCAGCTATTGACACACACAATGCTTATAGGCACAATTATGTAATAGTTAAGGGAATTAGTTACCAGCAGGAGGCAATATGGTGTAATGCCTCAAAGCAGCAGCAGGCTAGCAACCATTTTACACCTTCTGGACTGGAATGTTAATGTGTTTAAAAAGTTGGCAGCTGAAACTGACTTGCATTGAGTAAATCATATCCCTTTTTCTTCTCCCAAAAGGGAAGAAAAATGCAATTTTTGTTAGTAAACCTTGAGGAAGGTGGTTTTAAAAGGAGGCCAGGAGTGTGGATAATACTACAGAGTACATAGCGCAGAAGATCATGTATTTACTGTGTCCTAATTTTTCCTGTAGAAATATTTTATAATCAGGAACAGACTGCTGTTATACAAATTTTAAGTATTAAAAGGTATAGAATTTGTCAAAGAAGAAAAGCAATAGTTTCATGGCCAGTGTGGTATTGTGTCTCTAATACCCTGGACTGAAGCAATAATGTAATTGGCAAGTGAACCTGGTTTTACAGCTTTGAGTAGTTTGATCACATCCTGTTGTGCAGGAACATGCTTATGACTGTTCATGTAAAAAAGATTGGCATGCTCCCAGTTGCTCATCTGAAACAAGTTGAAAGCACCCTTTTTCATTTCAAGGCACTGTTTGGCAACAGATGCCACTGTGGCAGTTGAAAGTAAGGACTGGAAGCAGCATGCTTGATTGCCCACTGTTATCAGTTTCAACTAATGACTAATAACTGATAAATGTCAGTAGTCACAATGAGACAGTGTCATACTAACCTTTTTTAGGCTGTTCTCAAACCATTTCTCTGCTTTTACACCAAATGTGCTGCACAGCTTAGTTTTCTCTGTGATTCGTGGAGCATTCAAGCATTCTCACCACATGCGAGGGAACATTTCTCATTTAAGGGTTACACCTGTAAGCTGCACCAAATTTGGGAACAACAACAAAGTGGTTAGATGAAAAGAATTAGAACTCTGGAATTTAAACTTGGGGATTCTGTGTTTTTATTTAAAGGGCAGCAATATTGCATGACCACACTAGTAAAAGCATGCTATGAAATCTTTGCTATAAAATCTTAAAATGCTTTTATAAAATGAATCTTTCAAATTAGCATTTGTTTTTGCACTGGTTTCCTCTTATTCCCTCCCCCCTTCTCTAAAGGCCAATTCACCGAGTTCACTGTGCTAGGATGGGCAATAGCATAACAGAAAGAACATCTGATAGTGATATAGTTGCTGTGCTAAGACACTGTACCTTCTACTGCTCTTCCTGCTTCCTCTAATATTTGTTGGGAGTTAGGAGAAGAAAGGCAGAGCGCAGTAATCACAGTTTATGACTTGGGGTGGTAGAGGTCTTTATGCTGGTTTGTAGCTAATTTGAGTAACTTTTGGACAATCCTGATTTGTTCTCCCAAATTCTCTTGGCAACAGCAAATTCTCATTTTTGCCTTTATTTCTTGTGCTTTTCTCTGATTGGTAACAGATGAAAGGGTCAGCATAAGCTCATAGATTCAGCCTACAAGATTACCCTTGTGCTATGCTGAAATTGTTAGTGAGCCCCATTTAAAGCAGGGGGGAATAAGTGCTCATTTAAAAGCTGAAGAGAGAGAGGTAGCCATCTTAGCCAGAAACTGGGGAAAAGGCAAGGCGCAGTTGGACTTTATAGCCCTGGGGTGGCCAACCTGCAGCCTGAGCATCACAAGTGACACAGGCAGACTCCCTGTGTGACGCATAAGATCAGGCAGCACAGCAGCAGATAAGGCAAGAAGTAGAAGACACAAGGAGATCAGGCAGGAGCACAAAGTAGGGAGTACAAGGGAAAGCAATAGATTGAGCAGAGGAAAGGGATTGGAGTAGCACTTGGGGAGGGTGCAGGGCAAATTTGTGACACACTTTCCAAAAAAGTTTTCCCCCTCTTATAGATCTGTGGTGCTCAAACTTTTGGCCCCATGGACCAGGCAAGTAGTGCAGGGCCAATTTCTTGTCCAGATCAGGCTTCATGTGCCAGGGTTGAGCCCTGGGGCCTAGTCCAGGTCCTACATGCCGGGATTGGGCCTGACCCCGCGTGCTGGAACTAGAGCAGGACCCAAGGCTCCCCATGCGTTCAGAAATTTGGCAGCTGGGGAGCAGTGGCACCCCTCCCCTGCTGTCAAATTTCTGGACCCATAAGGAGCCCCCATTGACTGAATGACACAGGGCCAGGTGGTGGTGGGGGAGGGAGGTGTTGATCTGACCCATGGGCCAGGAGGTTGAGCATCCTCATTATAGATGATAAGCATCCCTGAATTAGTTAATCTATAAGGTGCAACTCTTCTCTGCTTTGTCTCCAAAAAGCTGAGGTTTAACTCGGAACAGTATTGTGGCAGGGTACATCAAGGGAGGTGGCATTTGCACTCGAGTTGTCAGTCTCCATTTCAGCCTTAGGAAAACCATCCTAATCTCTTCATTTTGGAAGCCAAGCACAGAAACTGTACAGCAGAAGCCCATTAAAGAAGTGACCAAAAAAGTGAAGTCCAATTACGTGACTAGTGGTATTATTTTTCTTTCAGTTCTGTTCCATTGAGTTGATAGGGTAAATGCTTTTAGCATTGTCATATTTGCTTACTCTGTACATCTAGCCACTTTAAGAAATTGCTTGCACAAATTCACCAAATCTCATGTTTTGGAGAGAGCTGACCAGAAAAACCGCCTTATTTTGTCTGCTGGTTCTGAAAGGAAGTTAATTAAGCTAAACAAGTCTAGTTGGCTGGGAGAGTTTAGAAGCTGTGAGGTACAGAATAACCTCTTCCCATACATGTCCATTTGAACTTTTTGGAATGACATGGGGAAAGCACTGTCCACCAGGATCTTACAAAAGAGCTGGTTGACCACCACCTGATTTAAGATTCTACTTTTTGAAGGGTAGTTATGTAGGTGACGTTAGGAAGAAGAAATGAATGAAAACTTCTCAATTCTTATACCATATTTTCGTATATACAATACACACCTTTCTCTCCCAAAATAGCTGCTGGAAATCTCAGTGTGCATTATATGTGTGAAATGTTCTGTTACAGGCAAAAGTGAAAGTAAATCTGCATGCGAGTTGCTAGGAGCTGAACAGTGAGCAGGCTGTGCTCTCTAGCTACTGCCACTTAGTTACTTAATGTAAAGAAAGATCTCTTTTGTTGTTGTTGTTCATTATGCCTTTCAATAATAAGGTACATATTATATTCTGGGGTGTGGTGAATACGAGAAAATATGGTATATGTTTGGCTTGCTTAATTATGGTACTTATAAGTAAGGCTTACAGCTGCCTGAATATTTCTTAGAGCAGTGGTTCTCAAGCTTTTTATACTCGAGGTACCACTTTGAAAATGCCAGCTCCTAGTTTTTACTTGCTTCTTGACTACAGAAAAATAATAATGCAATTTATTTTGTTGCAAAGAACTTAAGTCACAACAGGTCAGTTTTGGATGCTATGGATTCTTATTTGAAATCTCCAAGTTTAGCTTGTGAATCGTGTTTGAACACCTACCAGTGCTAATATTGTGTGGCACCCTGTGACACTCTTGAAAGGTTCTCAAAGCACCCCAGGGTGTTGTTGTATCCTGGTTGAAATTCACGGTCTTAAAATGTGTTAGTTCATCCCTGGATCTTTCCTAAATTGTGAGTGACATTGTATCAGACAACAGCTGGGAAAAAATGTAAAGGCTATCTTTTTCAAACTGTCAGTGGTAACCAACTAGTGTTTTATAGTAAAAACCTCACTGGACATTGTACTCTCTCAATCTTGAGTCAGATATGATGATTCACCTATAAAACTCTCACCCCTAAAAAGAATAATGTTTGTTTTAATTTTCATTTCCGTGCTCTGTGATATTATTTAATGATTGCATGTAGTTCGGATTTCCCTGTTGAAATAGTAAGGGAAGAAAAAAAAGTCCATTCAGAGAGAAGTAAGAGGTAGTCAACAAAGATCTGAGGAGATCTTGTTGTTGGAATATATTAACCCTAGCCACTCAGTTTGAAGTAACATATTCTGTGATTTCTGTATAGGCCAGTGTTGGGTGTTTCTAGGTAAAACTTCCAGTAATTCGGTGGGGTTAAGATTTCACTTGGTAAAAGTCAATGTTGCTCTTTCACTGTTCCTAATTTTACTGCTGAAGTGGTGTTGACTGGTTTCACAGGGTGCAGTTTTCCTGAGCTGCTGAACAGGTCAGCTTACAGGCAGATAGGCACCCAGAGCACCTGCCACACAAGGGCAGCTTCCGGTTGCCACCACACTGCACAACTGTGATGACAATTGTGATTGCACAGCTGTGGTGGCAGCCATTTATTTCAATTTTGTCCCACTTACTCCTTCCCTCTCCCTCCTCCCCCATGCAGGCAATGCCTAGGGCAGCTACCTCCCTTACCTAATCAGTGGTGTAATTAGGCAGGGTAATTGCAGGAATGGGAGTAGAGGATCCTGAAGGAGTTCCTAGTCTAACTTTAAGAAGGTCTCATAATACATTTCTCTGTTTAGTCTATGAATGCTAAATATGAGTAAATATGTAAATGTGAATGCAAAATTTCCTTCAGAAGAAGGATTAAAATTTGTCTTTTTGAACTTCTGAAGCAAATTTTTAATTAATATTGCATTTTCTCCATTGTAATGTCACAAGCTTTTGGCTGAATGCTGCCCTGAGATGCATCATTGTTTGCATTGTTAAATCACCTGTTGTTCTTGTGCAAACAGTGTCTTGTGTAGAACTTACAAGATACATGTCTGCATAGTATTTGAGGGCATGATCAAGTCGTATATCTTTAACTATAAGCTTTAATGAATTTTCAACTGGAGCATTCATCTTTTCTTCAACACATAAGAATCTCTCCCCCCTTTGAAAATGACAGTAAATTTGCATGCAAGCTTGTTTGATTAATTGCTATTTGACTCATCTATCATAGTGCTAAGCTCTAGGTTCACACAGCTCAGACTCCCCAACCACTTTCTAGAATTAATTTAAATATTTAATGTCAAAACCTTGGGATGAAACAGGAAAAAAAAATGGTTTAAATTATTATTGGCAGCCTCTTTCAGGAGTGACAACTTATAGAAGATATTTTCCATGTATTATAAACAACAGTATTTGATTTGAGAACAGAAGGGTACTCTCTGTGGATGTAGCAAGTCATATTGGTGCCTGAAATGTATGTTTTGAGGTGTTGGAAAGAATGTTTGCACTGTACTTTGACAATGTGGAATGCTATGTTTGTGCAGTGTTGGGCCACATTCTGATTTGCCAACTCAGTACTTAAAAATCCTATTGACTTTAATAGAAACGTTACCTGTTACAGGACCTCAAATTTTGACTTAAAAGTTATTTATTGGGTAAATCTGTCCTATTACAATCTGTTTACTTAAGCAACACATTGAAAGAATGTGTTCAGGAACTGACATTGTTATTCTAGATTTTGATACTCTCTTGTATTTCTGTCCATGGCTCTTAAACAGTCATTTTAATCATAATTTACCAATGTAGTACATATATTGAATTTCAGTAAGCTTTGCAAAGTCTTAGACATGTTATGACCATGGAAATTCAAACAGAGTTGCTGAGCCAGTAGTCAGGGGCTAAGACCTCACCAGCCCAGCTTTGTCTGTCCCATGAGAATATTGATGAGGAGTCAGGAGAGAAGGGAGAACCTATAGGAACTTCAAGCTGTCACAACCCAAGGGTGTGATTTTTGTTTGTGTGCGCTTCGGCACTGCTGAATTATTTCCCGCCACTCGTAGCTTTCTTTGCAGGGTGCATTTCTTAGTTGCAAAAAGAGAAGTGCCCGCTGCAAGGAGTTCCCGCCATTTGTATTCAAATTTGTGTCCCACTGTTGGCCAGTTCTAAATTATTCCCACATGGCGGCTAGAGATTGGCTTGCTAGCCATATAAGAGGCTTGAGCGGTTTCCGCCCAAGTTGGAGGACTCCACGACTATCAGGAGGAGGAGAACTTCATGTCTTGTGAAGATCTCTAAGCGCTGAGGAGCCTATCGGACCCAGCATGTATCACAAGAAGGCTATAGGGGTCTGATCAGCCTCTCGCCTCTCCCCATCGCCACCTGATCCCTCGACGTACCCTTCCCTGCGCGCAAGTTCCACGGAGCCTAGCAAACTTCGTGTGAGTGAATCCAGAGCTCTACCCGGGTTCGAGTCCTGCAGGTTTATCTTCCTGTCACCGAACCCCATTGCGACATACCCTCATGTTCTGCAGGTTCGAGTTTTGTTTTCTAACTGCACCTCAATTTTCCCTGCCTGCACCGCGACCATCTTCGGTGTAAGTAAAATAATCTTAAATCAACCACTAAGCGTCTGTGCCTAATTCAAGCGTGCCGCCTGTCTTCCCCGACCCGGCGTGTCCGGGCTGCTGGCCACAGCCCGCCGCGCGGAAACCCCCCCCCCGAGGGCCTCGGACCGCTCCCGGCCCGCGCACAAGCTTCTAACAGGGGGACTATAAAACCTCTCTTACTTCCTGTGGGACTTGTCCCAGCAACACCACTCTTGTGTGTGCTCCTCAGACCTTTGCCTTGGTCCTGTCCTGCCTAATCTAAGCCTCACCAGAGTCTCTGGTGTCCCCGTCTGTAGAAGATTTGGTGGGATCCATACCCCCAAGGGTTCTGGAACCAAGGGTGTCTTGGTAGTTCCAGCAAATTGTGAAGAGTAACTGGGCCATGGACAGTCACTGAGTGAGTTATCATAGGCAGGCTGAGGTCACATCAGTTACCTGTTGCAGTCTGAGCTATCAGGCCAAAGATGGAGGCAGTGTAGTAGTCAGGGTGGAAGAGAAAACTGGGAGGTCCAAACAAAGCAGGGGCGGGGACTGTGGTGAAGCTGGGATTGGGTAGAATGTCTCAAAAACATTGAAGACTTGAGTTGTGCGCTCCTAGTTTTTTTGGACATCAACAAGGTGGAAAACCAATTGAGAACTACAGGAAAGCGACTACAAAAAAAAAAAAAAAAAAAAAGAGGTTAAATATGCAGTTAAGAGGTTAAAAAAAAAAAATCTGTGTGAACAGTAAAGAGGAGGAGATTGAGGAAAATCAGAGAGGTAAAAAGAAAAGAATTATAGTATGAAATAAAGCAAAATTTAAGTTGGGTTGAATGTCATGTGCAATTCCTGACACTGAAGTATAATACACAATTGAATATTCTTCCCTGAGAAGTTTTGGAAGCCTCATTGTTGTTAGTCCTTTAAATCTAGATGGGACACAGACTATTTTAGGAATTTTTTTTCTTTTTTTTTTTTTTTTTTTTTTTTTTTTTTTAAATACACTAAAAGGGACAAAGCTAGATAAATCCACATTTCTGTTCCACTTCTAACTTCTTCAAATCTGTCAGTCCTTACCTGGGAAGTCTTGAATCATACATCATGGCTTTTATTTAATCCAGAAGATATTGTAGTAGTTGTCTATTTACAACTTTCACCAAAACAATATATTAAGATGAACAGTAACAGTTATACATATTGGCATAACAACATTCATGTAATTTATAATTTTTGCTGAAGACATACAATGCAATCAAGTAAATTAGTGCTGTTTATGAACTTGTGGGCGTTTTGCTGTGTAGATTGTTGTTTTTTCTCTTGTGTGCCTTTAAACACATTTAGTACTATATGCTATCAGTATGTACAAAATACATTTTAAAATACTTTGAAGAGTTTTTAATTCAAGTTTATAACACGATTACTATATTGAAAGTGTTTTTTAAAACTGTGCAAATTGTAATCTCTTGAGAGACAGAAAGACCCTTAATAAATGGTCATTTTCAAAAGTGATACATCCTTATCCCCTTAAATAGTATAGTCAATAAATAATGTACTCAGCCCCCCTGACGCACAGCCCTCCAGGCTGACTCCCATTCAGCCCTACACTTTGCGGGTCCACACTCTACGCTCCTTATGCTACCGCCTCTAGGGTCTCCGGGATTTCACATCCCTCCTGGGCTCAGGCTCCTACACATGAGCATACCTAGCCCCCTACTCTCACATTTCTACACTACCCGCTCTGGGATCTCACATCCTACCTGGATTCAAGTGGTACTCTGCTTGCCATGCGTGGCCCCACTACTTGCCCAACTACCTCCAAAGTCCACCCAGAGATGAGGGGCTGGGGTTAAAGCACCTCTCTTTGCTTCTCACTGGGGAGGTAACTGGTCTGGCATTTCCTGGGGGCTCCCACACCAGTAGGAGCCCCACCAGGCCACCCATCCCCAGTAGGGTACAGTTTTAGGTCATGCCCAGGACCAAGAGCCTTCTACCTTCTGAGGTTCCTGCTGCAGCTTAGCCAGGCAATGTTTCTACCTGAACTGGTAGCAGCAGACTGGAGCCTTTTATATCACTTGTTCTCAAAATGGCTGCCATAATCAGGCACCTGGTAGCTACCTGATTGTGCCCTTAAAGTGGCAGGCCCCCCAGGGTGCCTGCCACATTCCCAACAGTTTCTACTGTCTTAGTTGGTTTATTTTTTATTTCCTTTAAATTATTTTCTGGAAAACAATTATGCCTTGTTACTGAAATGTATGTGGAATAAGAAAGGGAAGATGAAAGTTTTATACTGCAGTAATTTGTGGGCTCATTTTGTTCATATTAGTTTCATTAGACAGATTCTAAGACCTATATTCCATTCAGCCTCTTGGATATGGGACACTGACTTTTAGGTGTCAGTAGGTGCGTCTACATGAGCACCCAACTGTGCAGTCATTACTGCACAGTCATTTAGTACTAGCAAGTACTAAGTGACTGTGCAGTAACCACTGTTACTGCGCAGTCCCAGTGGTGCATGGGTCATTTCCGACCCTACTGCACAGTAGCATCAATGTCATGGTTCATGCCTGCTTATGCTGTGGTGCCATAGCAATGAGCTACATCGCTGTAACTTACCACTGTAACACAGTGTTGCATGTAAATGTGTCCAGTGGGTGCATCTACATGTGCAAACTCCAGGGCACTTTGAGCCACAATAAACTGCTCTCAGGTATAGCATCAACATGTGTGCCCAGGACAGCAGAAATTTAAGCCAAGGTGAAGCAGGTCCCTGCCTGGTTGGGCTGAATGGGCATAATTTACACCTGTGGTCAGCATCTACATGTGTATTTCAGCACAGTAAACTACTCTGCTGTCAGATAGTACTGTCCCTAACAGCCAGAGGTTGAAAACGTATACGAACAAAATAAGAGCATGCAAAAAGGAGCCTGACTGGCCCAGTAAGGTGAGCACTGCCCTACATTCTGGCTAATGTTCTCTTTTTCCAATACTGTTATTTAATTTTAACCAGTGACTATTTAGTGCAAAATGCATAAACAACACTGGAAACAGGGAGTAGGGGCCACAGACTGGGCCTCTCACCCTCTCAGGATAGTGCCTAACTCAGAGTGATAAAGTCAGACTCCTTCTTGCTCTCCTTCTGGCCACATGAATCTTTCACTTGACTGTCAAGTCATAGGGGTGGACGATGTACTCAGTAGGGCTGTGTGAAACGGGTGTGTTTCAGTTTGGTTTCAGATTCAGCCATCTCGGAGGACAGTGATTCGTTTCGGTGTTTCAGATCACTGTCCTATTACATTTCAGTCGAATCTGTTTCAGAGAATCTCCTCTGAATCTGTTTCAAATGGGCTGCAAGGGAAGCTTCACACAGCTAGGCAGGGCTTGGGGACCCAGCTGAGAGCAGGACAGGGTTGTGGGTGGCTCATCCAGGAGAGGGGGAGGGCCACTGCCCTCCGTGCAGACACGGATCTCTGATCCCTGTCACTCCAAGTCGCTGGGCAGGGAAGCAGCACAGAGTGGCGAGCAAGCCTGCTTGTCCTTGCTGCATGACTCAGCTCCACCGGGAGCAGAGATCTGCACTGAGGGGTTCTCCTCACTGCTGCTGCCTGCCCTGTGCTGCCCCAGTGATGTGGGGCTGTGTGGGGTGGGTGGCAGCAGTGGCAAGGAGAGCCCAGCATGGAGCTCTGCTCCCTGTGGAGCCAGGTCATGCAGCAGGGCAGTGCTGGTCTCTGCCATGTGACCTGGCTCCGCAGAGAGCAGAGATCCAGGGCTGCACAGGGTGGGCAGAGGCAGGGAGGAGTCCTTGGCTCGGATCTCTGCTCCCTGCGGAGCCAGGTCGCGTGGCAGGAATTCCCCAGCTCTGATCATTTCCCCTAGCTCTTCCTGGGGGACACAGGCCCCCAGATCTGCGCACGGGGTTTCAGCAGGCTGCCGCTGCAGGCTGAGGCCAGTGGCAGCACTTCAGTCTTCTCAGCGTTCAGCTCAGGCTGTGCTGAGCAGCTGCCGCTGGCTCCAGGCTGCGGCAGCCTGCTGAAACCCCATGCGCAGATCGGGCGTCCATGCCCCCTGGGAAGATCTGGGGAAATGATCAGAGACCTGGAGAATCAAACTGGGAACTAGATGTCAATATCAGAGCAGTCCTTAACACCCTTTTCCCCCTCCCTCTTCTTAGTTTTTATTTGCCTGTAAGCCTGACTCTGAAACTCCAAAATTCTCCGAAACGCATCAGAACCTTCCATTTCAATTTGGATTTGGTGTTTTGGGCACCAAAATGGCCCGAAACACCTCTGAAACAAAGTGGCTGCCAAAAGTTCACACAGCCCTAGTACTCAGCCCTGAGCATATTTTTGGGAAGTGGGAAATAAGGATTTAAACCACTGAGGCTGAGAGGTACCTAGAATCCAGATCTTCCATGTCCTGGGCAAGTGCCTTAGCTGTGGTGCTACTGGGTAAAAATCAGGCTTCTCTGCTGCCACCCCCACCACCATTGATGCCAGTCCCAGTCTGTCAGCTAGACATCTTCATTTGGGTCCTGACATGATAGGGGTCCCTAAAGCTAACCATTGAGAGAATGGAGAGTTATTAGTTTCCAGAGGGAAATCCTGTTCTGGCCTGTGGGAGGAGGAGCCTATAAGGCAGCCAGTTCTGGGATTCTACAGGTCAGAATAGCATCCATTTCTTAAGATGCATTAGGCTGCCTGGTGAAAGAGCAGGAGAACTGTGTGTCTCCCTGGGTACAATAGGATCACTCTCCTGAACTTAAATACATGGGATGAGCAGAGGTTAAATCCTTAGACATCAAGTAGGTAGGATAGTATCTAGGCTTAAGATGCCCTTGGTTTAGGTATTTTTTCCTTGTCATCTTCATAAAATGGTGAATTATTTTTTGTATCCCAGAAAGGGATTGCAAAGAAGCTTTTGTTAATACTGGTTATAAAATAATGGCCTCCACTCCCTCTGACTGAAAGAAGCTGACGTTTTGGTGCCTAGGTCAGGAGTAAGAATCCTTTTGCCTTTTGTAGGTTGCCTCCTTTATCTCTTTGGCTTTTACAATCCAAGTACTTTTTCAGTCTAAAAGCATTTTCTGAACCTCACTTCTAAAAGTGATGATGAGAATGTGATAGGACTCTTGAGATGGCATAGGGAGACTTAATTTAAATCATTCTGCAAAACCAATCTAATAAATCTCATTGTGAAATAATGATTTTTATCAGCAACTTCTCAGAAGAAATTCCAAAAGTTTGTATTCATTAATCCCAATGTTTTTAAACTAATACTCAGGCTATTCTTCTTTGCACTGTGGGACTAAATTACATTTAAGCAGCATATGTCTCTCTCATTACACTTTCTTTTTATGTCCTGCATACTGTCCTCTGATATCCAGACACTTCTCACCAGTGGTCACACATTTATCCATTGTGTTTGTTTTGGCAGACAGACCTACCACTTTGCTTTCAGGGGATATCATAACATTCTGTCAGCTTTCTGTTTTGCTTTAAAATTTCATCAGTTCACCCTCTACTTAGGGTGCCTTTCCCTGTACACACAAGTGGAGCAATTGCCTGAAAATTTCAACTGGGTGCAGATGATATTGGTAGTTGCACATAATGTGGGTTGCACTTCAAAGAAATGATCTGAGCTGCTTTTAGTGAAGCAGGAAGCAGACATACTTAAAACTTAAGTTGCCCAAAATCTTATCTTTTTGGAGGTAACGGTCAGTTTCCATTCCAAGATGGATGGTTTTGTGTTTGGAATGCTCTTAAGCCTCCACTAGTCTGGGTTGCTTAGACTCATTGCCAAAGTATAAGAGGAAACCCCCTTATTACAAAAGCCAAAAATTCTAGATAATTTACTAATACAATTGGAAGTCCTTTTGTTTAACCCAAAAACCCATGATACATGTCCATTTGTATGAAATATATATTTCACTATTGTTTAAGTTGAGCAGACCATTCTTTTTTTAATCTGTATTCTCAATTTAGCATGATTTTGGCATACATTTCTTTTTTTTTCTTCTTTGCTATATAGCTGATTTGGGTGTGAATTTGATAAAATTTCACAAAATATCTGTAATTTAAATATTTCAATTCTACTTTTGGCCAGATCTTGATAAGGAAAAATCGCAACCACGAGTAAAGGAAAGAAGCTGATTTCATAAGCTTTGGGGGTTTATAATTGCATGCATACAAATAAGCTTTCACTTAGGCTAGTATGGACATTCAAAACTTGTGAGGCGGACTTGATTTAAGTTATGTGGCTTTCTGTAAGTGGCATAGTTTAAGTTGGTAGCAAACCAAACACACATTCACTCTTTGGTGGCAGGGAGCAAATCTTAGACCTGGTTCCTGGTTCTTCCATTTTTAAACCAGTCCATGTGTGCCAAACTTCTTTTCTATTATGAGTATAGACCAGTTTCTGATAATTTTATCAGTAAAAGTATAATGTCTGGCCTTAATGGAATTAAATTCTTGACCAGTGTAGCATGTAAAGTAGTTTCTGTTTTGTTTGGGGGTAGGATGTAATGGTGCAGTAAGAATAAAGTTCCAGCTGCTCTTGAGTTCATTTATTTATTCTAGAAGTATCTCTTGCTATAGTTAGTTAGGGCCACTGAAACTTTCTTCTCTTGTGCTCCTAGTTGTGTCTTAGTTTCCAGTGTCCTGTGTAGTTTAAAGTAGCTTTTATTAGGATTTAAATAGGTTTGGGGAATGCACATTACACAACAAGAAATTTGAAAACAGGCTCTTAAGCAATTGACAGCTCAATTGAGAGTACAGTATTTATCAGAGCAAACAGATAGTGTGTACCATAAAGAAGCACTTCCAATCCCATGATTACAATAACTGAACAAGATTAATACTCTGGCTATCACACAGTGATCCCTGATACTTGTTTCCTGAACTAATGTGGTCGTATTTAAAAAAAGGACAACAAGCATTCCTGTCCTTTTGTGCAGTAACTGCCAACTTAACATTTAGGCAATAGTCTTGTTTGCATATGGATTTCAAGAAAATCCATTGAAGCTTATTTGAAAACCAGCTCATTAGAAT